ATAATTGCTGATGATACAGAACTAACGGCCTAGGAAAGCCTTCCATGTGTCACTCACCAACAGGAGGGAGATCTCCAAGCCAAAAACACCAGCAGGGCTTTGTGCATGAGCAGGAAGGAAAAGGAAAGGGCTTCAAAGACCACAGCATGGCACCAGGAGATCTGAGAGCCCAAACTACAACCAACCATCCACCCAAACTGTAAGAGGATGTGGGAATCCACAAAATTAGAGGGCTTTGGGAAAGTTGCAAAAGGCAGGCCACAGAGGCAGCAGAACTGTGATCAGAGCTAAGCAGCAGCCATGAGATAGGTTAGCAGAAAAATTATTTAAGGACAAATAGAACAATGGTCTGTGTATTAACGCTTGTCTGGAATAACTCTCTAAGCTACCGAAAAGTTTATCTAGCAAGACATTAGGAAGTTTGAAGCTTAATAATGGAGCTCTGTGGATTGTGTTTTAAGGCTCACAAGCAGGTATTGTATTTGAAATACACAAGCATTGTTTTAACCAAAGGTACCTGTGCTTATGGTGATTGGGTAGAACTACTGTCAATGTGCTTTTGCTTTGTGTGATTGGTAAAAAAACTTATAAAGTGAGTTGTAACATTAAGTCCTTAGTCTGCTGCCTGAGATGTGAGCTGCTGGCATCTTCCCATTGTCATAACCATTTAATGAGAGTGATGCTGGAAAATACAACAGCTCAAAGCACGTTCCAGAGCAGCCCCGTCCTGTTTGTGATTTGTACACAGCCCCCAGCCAGCGTCAAAGGACATTTTTATTTCCAGATGGGCTCTTCCCACAAGCCAGGACTGCATACCCAGCTACCCTCACAGCATCACAGCAGCCACCCTGCAGATGCTCTCAATGTGTCTCTAAGTCACATGCAATGCAATTTTGACACTGCAATGTGGACTCTGGGCTTGTGTCTAGAGCTGTGCAAGACTCCAGGCTGGTCCCAACACAAAGGCTTTGAGGGCGCAAGGCACTGGAGAGTACAAAAGAGAGCAGAGCTGGCTCAATATTTAAGACAACCATACAAACAGTGAGTAATCTCAACATGGAGTTTCAGACTCTTCTCTGTGTGGAAAATGAAACCTCTAGGCAAGCTGGCCCTTGTTTATACAACTTCTCTCAGCTCACCTATCTCTAGACCATAGTTTCCTAAACAAACGAAGAAAAAAAAAGACCGATTCACTTTCATAGTGCCCGTTCAGATAACATAAACCACTCAGCTCCAGCTGGAAGCAAAAGACAGAGCTGTGCTGGTCCTGCAGGGCCTGGGTGCCTGCCCTGTGCCAAGCAGAACCCCACTGCCATTCAGAGCCCTTCACCTGAGCAACCAAAACAAAAGGGAGGGTACAGCAGGCACAACTACGGCCTTGGTGTGTATCTGCCTTTAATTTCTTCAGCACAGTTTGCAGAAGAGCTCGATGCACTGGCGCTAGCACAGAGGCTGCTCTGCAGGGGATTTCCCCAGGAAAAACAAGGGACCCGTGTGCTCTGGTGAAATTCAGGCATTTACAGCGGGATGCTCAGCAGCACGCTGAGCTCTGCTGGTACAAAAACTGGCACAGCAAGCAAACTCAAGAGGTTGCGGGGAAAACAAATAAAAACACAAGTGCTTGGTGTAAGACTGCAGTTCTGGGGAGATGTCTGGACACGAAAGGCAGTGGCTCTGTGAGGAATGTCCCCAGGAGCTCCCTCCATAAACGAAACCCTGGCGAGCCAGAACACAACTCCTGCCTCTAGTACTGATGAAGGGCAGCCCACCCGCATCAGCCTCAGCTGCTGGGCAAGCCAGGAAGGGGGAACGAACGTGAGGAAGGGGGAACGAACGTGAGGAGGAAGCCGAGGAGCCGCAGCCGGAGCAGGGGAGGAGGAGGAGCAGCTCAGGGCAGCGTGAGGGCAGACAAAAGGAGAGGCAGCGGGAACACGTGCGAGCCAACGCCGCAGCTCGGCCCCGCACCTTCCCGGGGGAGGAGGCTCTGGGTAACAAAGGCCCGGGCAGGTATTGTCCCTCCGGGGCAGCAGCTTTGCCTCCAGCCCCGCCCGGCAGCCAGCAGGGCCCCGCGGCCCCGGCGAGGCCAGGGGGGACCGGGCCCTTCCTCCCCGCCCCGCACAAGCGGAGCCGCCTCTCCTAGGGGCACAAGCGAGATACAAATAACCCCGTCTGGAGCTACGTCCTCCACACCCGGCTCCTCGGGACCCACAGTATCCATCCATGCATCCATCCATCCCCCCATCCATCCGCAAGGGCTTTGCGCTGCCATGTCCTTGCTCCCCTTCCGCAGACACACACACAAACACACGTAAGCCTTTGCTTACCTTTCACTGCAACACCCCCAAACTCAGCCCGCCCCCAGCGCCCCCTCCCCTCTGCCCTGTGCAGCCAGCAGGGACAGAGTCCCTCCATGCCCGGCATAGCGGCGATTCCCTCCGCATCCTCCTGCAACGGGCAGGGATGCCGGCTCCGCGCACAGCTCCCAGCCCCACACACAGAACGGGGCTCTTCCCGTCCTTCCAAAAGTAAACCAAACAACCTCTTCCCCAAAAGGCAAACAACACCACGAGGCCGGCGGAGAGCGCACCGCGCCTTCGCGGCCCGCTCGCCGATTGCGGTTCCGCTGTTTCAGCACAGCGAGACCACCCGGGCCCGGCCGCTCCTCTCCTGTCCTCCCATCCGGGGCTGCCCCAGCCTCTCGCCGCTTTCGGGCCGCAGTTCCTCTGCCTCGCATGCAAAGCGCGCACCGAGCGGGGATTCCCCGGCCCGGCCGGGACACCGAGCCGCTTCCCGGGGCACGGGAAAGCCCAGCCGCGGAGCTCGCCTCGGCCCCCGCACGGCACAAAGCGCCCCCCGGCCCCGCACGGTGAACTGTGCACGGCTTGCGCTCCAGCCGCCCCTGCAGCCCGGGGGAGCGGGGGAAGCGGCTCCCCCCGGCCGGGAGCGCTGCGGGCACGGCTACCCCGGGCACCGGCGCTGCTGCGGACACGGCGGCGAGCGAAGTCGCCTCTGTTAAAAATAGGCTGCGCCCGCCCCCGCAGCAGCGAAAGGCGCGGCCGAGCGGATCCGGAGCACCGCGGAGGGAGCGGAGCCGCGGGCTTGCCCCGCCGCCGGCGGTACCGAGCGGAGCGGCCGGATCAGCCCGCCCCCCGCCCGCGGCGGCCCCGCCACGCGGTACCTGCACCATGAGCGCCAGGCGCAGCGAGTCCTTGGCGATGCTCTCGCCGCATTTCTTGCAGGAGGCGCGGCCGCTCTTGGCATACTCGGCCCGGTACAGCTTCTCCGCTGGCTCCGCCATCGCCGCCGCTCCCGCGCCCGCCGCCGCCGCCCCGCCCCGCGCCGCGCGCCCGCAGCCGCCCCGCCCGCGGCAGCGCCAGCCGAGCGCCGAGCGCGCACCCCGCCTCGCCGGCCGGGCGGATCCGCCACTCGGGCATCGATTGCGCAGGCCTGGAGGTTCATCCTGTGTATCAATGGGAGGCGGGCGCGGCGGCGCGGCTCGTGCTGCGCCTTGAGACCCGCGGGTTCGAGTCCCGGTCCCGCCGCCATCCCCCGTATCCCTGTCCCGCACCCCAGGGACACAGAGCGGGCTCCCGCCTCCTGGGAGAGCCACGAGAATTTCTAAAACATGACAATTTCCACCCCGACATGAGGAAGTGCTGCTTCACACGTGGGTGGCAGAGCGCTGGGACAGCTGCGCAGGGAGGTCGTGGGGTCCCTCTCTGGGGACAGCCCAAACCCTCTCGTGTGTCACCTGCCCCAGGTGACCCTGCCTGGGCAAGGGGTGGTCTGGTGATCTCCAAAGGTCCCTGCCAACCTGGACAATTCTGTCATTGTGTGCCCTCCAGCCCCTGCGGCTGCTGACAAAATCTAAGAGCGATTCGATAAATTAAATCTGGATATTTTCTTTCCTACTCACAGCAGATAATTATCCTCCGCTATCAGCAGAGGGCATTGGCTCTGCAACTTCCCTGGAAAAAGGAAGAGGAGAGCACTGAAGTTACTCCAAGTATTTGTCATTGATTTTTAATTTTATAGAGACTCTGCAATTAGGGATCACCCAATGCAGGATGTGCAGCCCCGGGTGGGCTGGAGGCAGCTCGCAGTGTCACCCAGAGATGCACGCCAGCATCTCACCAAACCCGAGATGCTGACACACCTTTCATCCTGTGCTGCCCTTCTCCAGGCTGTCACACGTGTGCTGGGCAGGCTTTGCCTTCACAGCCAGCCCTCCACAAGCCTGGGACTATCGGTGTGCCCGGGAGGACAGGATGGGTCCCCATCCCTGGAATTTGGGGAAGGAGGAGGAAAAGAAATCCCTGCGAAGCACTAGATGGTGCTGCGAGCACACAGCACAATCTTTGCTCTTTCTGATCGCTCCTTCCAGGAGTTCTAGACCAAACCCCAGTGGTTCAGAGGCAGATCAGTGCGTTTGGTCCCCAGCTGGGGAAAAAATGGGGAGAAAACTCCATTCTGTGTCACTCACATTCTCTAAACAGACACATAATTCTCTCTCTCCCAGGATTTTTCCTGGAGAAACACAGAGCGAAGAAGAGAAAACAATTCTTGTCTCTGTTCACTGCTCCTGTTGTTTGGCACCTGTGGAATGGGTTATGGAGATTGTTTACCCAATGTGGTTTGTTAATTGGACACTGGTGAAAGTTGGTTTGAGTGATTAGCCAGTCACGCAAAGCTGTGTCCTGGCTGTCCCAGACAGTCATGGGTTTTTCTTTAGTATAGAATCTCTTTAGTATGTAATTATCTCTTTAGTATGTAATTTAGTATAGTATTAGTGTAATATAACGTAGCTTAATAAAGCAATTTTTCAGCCTTCTGAAACCGTGGAGTCAGAGCCCATTATTCCCAGTGCCTGCTTTTATTATACCATTCACCTGGAGAGTTCACCTGCATGACCTGGTGGGTGCCCCCTCACCCTGCCTGGCACCTTTACCAAGGGGTTTGCCCTGTTTGAAGGTGACCAGCAGGGAGGTGTGGAGTGGAATCCACCCCATTCTGCAGAACTGCAAGGGCATCCTGGAGGAAAGCAGATAAACAATTAAGGGTTATAAATAATAAGGCTAAAATTATAAATAAATAAATATTAAAAAATAATAAATACTAAATATTAAGGGCAATAAAAAGTTAAGAGTTGACAGGGAAGAGTTGTCCTGAGTGAAGTCAAGGGACTGTTTCACCCTCATCCTGCCTCTGTGAGGAGCTGACATAAGAAAGGCCAAACCACCACTGCGTGATCTTCCAAATATTTCCCAGCCTCGTGAGATTTGTGGCTCAGGGATTTCCTGCGTGCCATTACCCTGGGGGGAATTTTTCTTCCAAGGATTTGTCCAGTTCCTCTGAAAAAACTCTTTTGTTTATATGTTATTTATTTATAGTGTTTGAGCAAAAGAGCAATGACTGTTTGTTGGTGGGGCCACTTTCCCTCCTAAGAAAGGCAGCCCAAACCCCAAAATGCTGCTCTGCATCTTGCAGCCTGGACACTTGCAGAGGGTCTGTGAGATGTCATGGAGAGCTGTGCACAGACATTCACAGGCTTGCAAGCATGGAAACAAGCAAAGAAAGTGACTGCGACAAACGGCTGTTCTAAGCTTAACCCTTTTTTTCCAGTCATGAATTAACTACATTAACGCTAGTTCAAATGGGGTTTAGCGGATTTTCTTTTTTGAAAGGGATAGGTGGTTCTGCTCAAAAGGATCAGGCTCAAAGCTCTGCGTAATTAACCCTTTCAGCCTTATTTGAGAATTCCACAGGAGTTTGGCTACAACCAGTGTGTTGCTTTGAAACAGGAATGTCTAAATAGCAGGAATTACATTGTTATGGTTCTTCTTATGGCAGTATAATTTCCTCTGTAGGCTAAGTGTCATCCTGATTTGTGGTGTCAAGAGTTGCCAAATCATGTTAGTTGTTTCCATAAATGTATTGATCTCAACAGAGCTGCCTTGCTGTCTGTCTCCCCAAGTGTGACACATGGATCACAGCACATCCCTTCCTCTGTCCCCGGGCAGTGGGGACCAGGGAGTCAGTGCTAACACAAACAGAAACCAAGTTCTTTTACAAAACAGGGAATGCTTTGGCAGCAGCTGAGACAAGGGGCATCTGCAAGGCCACTTTTCTGGGGAATCATCACCCCTTTCAGAAAATCCAGTTCTTCCAGAGCCCTCATATTTAGCTGCTGGGTTTTACCAGAGCAAGGGCAGTTAAAGAGAGGAAGATCTTTGTGATCCGTCACATCCCTTTCTAACAATATACCCATCTCAGTGGAGTGATGACTGCTGGGATCCTGGGGATGATGAATGCTGCACCAAGGTGTGAAACCAATGGTTTGTTTGTCCTCTCTGTTACCCAAGCAGAACTCGTGGTTATCTATTGTATTTGCTGGGAATGTCCCAACAAAGCAGGAATTATGCTTCTGACTCCATGTTCTCAGAAGGCTAATTTATTACTTTATGATACTATATTATATTAAAGAATACTAAACTATACTAAAGAATACAGAAAGGATACTTACTGAATGCTAAAAAGATAATAAAAACTCGTGACTCTCTCCAGAGTCCTGACACAGCTTGGCCCCAATTGGCCAATGAGTGAAAACAACTCACACCAGAATCCAATGAAACAATCACCTGTGGGGAAACAATCTCCAAACACGTTCTAAACAAGCAAAACACAGGAGAAGCAAATGAGATAAGAATTGTTTTCCTTTTTCTCTGAGGCTTTTCAGCTTCCCAGGAGAAAAATCCTGGGTGAAGGGATTTTTTCAGAGAATGTGAATGCCACGGTTGTCCTCAGAGGTGTTTTGACTATCTCCATATACTGACACTGAGATGCCAGACTGGCTGCTGGTGCTTACAGAGCAGCACTAACCAGGAACACCAACCCATATCTCACACCTGCCAATGGGCTCCCACAGCTCCCTGTGCTGTGGACAGGAGGGCAGGTGAGGAAGGGGATGTAACCAAAAGGCCTGCTTTTCAGGCTTTATCATAATGTCAGGATATTAGGAATTTCCTACAGCCTCTGTTTCTGCAATCTCACCTCTAGGATGCCCCCAGCAATTTCTGTTCACAAGAGGCAAACTGGAGAAACTGGAGAACTCCAGAGGCACAGAAATGGTAAAGAAGAAAAGAATGGCCCAAGAAACCCCATCTCTGGCAGTTCTGAGTGTCTCAGGCTCTGAAATTCAGTGCCAAGCATTCAGGTGCCTGGCTTGTGACTTCAGGACACCACAAAGAATTACATTTTCTTTTCTGGGCCATTTTACATCAGATTCCTCTGAAAGGCAGAGGAAATAGGTCAAATAGGTCAAACTCTGGTACCAGGCAGATATAAGTTATCTCTTCAGTGTCACAGGACCAAATGCCTCCCCTCAGACTGTGCTGACAGAGCCCTGAGCACTGAATCTCCCAGACTGTCTTGCTTTGGGCTCCATTTCTGACATATGCCTGAGGTGTCTCCCTGCAAGATTTCCACCCTGCTAAGTGTCTCCAAAAGGGTGAGAAAATGTTGGACACACACAGGGAACACGATTGCTTACAGCCTGTGGGGGAGTCAGAACTGGTCTTGCTCAAGCCTGGGTTTGTTGCTGCAGGAGACTTTACATTATCTGGTATTTGATATCTGATAGCTCGAGAGTTTTGTAACAAAAACCCCTTCAGTGCTGGGTTATGCTGTCTGTATTGATGGCCCACTTTTCAATGCCACTGCACATAATCAGTGTGGCTGGGGTGGCCCTGTTTGCATCCAGGCTGGAGGCTGCAGGCAGCCACTGCTGTGGCTCAGCTGTGCCTCCTTGCTCATCCCATGGGCATCCCTGAGACTGCACCAGTCTCAGGGAAAGGGATGTGGGATCCTGCACCCCTCTTCTAACTGAGCATTCTACTGCCTTTTCTCTCCATGGAATAAATCAGAGGGCTCTCTGTCCTGTCTGGGGGTTCTAAAATATGTTTTGATTAGCTTAACAACTTCCCCTGGTTCCTCTCTCCTGGATGATCATTAACATCTGCAACCTCTTTGGCTGAATTTGGACTGTTCCTCCTGCAGGGCAGAGGTACCCAGAGCTGGCCTCCTCCTCAGTCCCCCTAAATAATTCTGCATTGCAGACCAACACAGAGGTCTGTGTGAAGCAGCTCTGATGGTTCCTCTCTTCTTTACAAAGGTCCCTTAAATAAACCTGCTCTGTCAGCTTTCCAGATGCCCAGGAAAGTAGATGTAGGAAGAGGAGGGGTTCAGAGAGGAGAAACAGCATTTGAGATTGCCTGGGAACATGACTGAGTAGCTTTCTCTCAGTAAATCCAGTGGTGTGACTGCATATCCTGAGTCTGGGGAAGATAATATTCCAAACCATTGGCACAGCCACAGCACTTGCCACAGTTGGTACCTGGGTGCTTGCCAGGCTTTGAGGTTATTCACCCTGGCATTATCCCTGTTTTACTGTCCCCATGTGGCAACCGAGACACAAATCACCATGCAATGAAATTAGAGAGTGGGAAATTAAAAAAGGGTAAAAGGAGATTTGTTCTCGTGGCAAGTTAATTAAACTAGAGCCTACAGCCAAAGGCAGATGTTGTGGCAAAGTAATGCTGAAAGGAATTGCTCAGAGTTCTCCTAATTGCAAATGTTAAAAGGGACATAAACCAGTGAGCTTTGGAGATAAAGTCCACACCTAATTTATGGTGACAGTGAGGAGTCATAACTCGGGGAAGAGATGATCTTCAGTCTCACCATGGCATTTCCTTCCCTTGAAATGCTCAGCCCAGTGAGCTGGAGACAGAGGAGCACTTGCTGCATGGGCAGCTGTAGTCCATTCTTGATTTCTGCTACCTGCCAACAAGAATAAGAAATCACACCTGAGGAAAAAGCAGAGTGTCCCAAACCCTGAGCTAATCCCACAGCCATTCAGTCAGCCTTTGGCAGAGCTTGTGAGAAAGATGGCAAACCCCCTCATGGGCTACCTGGCTACCTTTTTTGTGTGGATGCTGCTTGTTCTCCCAAGCACCACCTTTCCCCTTTGTGGTGCAGTTAATCCTCCTGCCCGTGTGCCTGCCACTTGTAAAAGGCTCTGCTGCCAGAGGAAGGAGGCAGCAGCTGCAGCACTGAAAGTGTTCAAGAGCAGAAACAAGGAGAGAGATTTGGAAAGTTCATGCTCAGAGATGCGTGTGTGTGCCAATCCCAAGCTGCAGCCTTGTGGAGGAGTTTAATTAAGGATGGCAGCTTCCCCTGCTGAAGCTGTAATCCCAAACACATGTTGTCCCCACACAGGCCCAAAGCCAGGCTCTGACTCCTGACCAGAGCATCCCAGGGCAGATGCCACATCCCTGGGGTGGCAGCTCCCTGCCCTACCTGTGCCATCAGTCTGGGCGTCCTCTGGCCCAGAAGAGCTCCAAAATACATATTGGGCAGCACAAGATACCAGCTGGAGGGTCTGTGTGTGGTTCCCAGTTTGGGTCCTAGAAAATGAATAAAGGAAAGCAAAACAGAGGAGCCAGAGGGCTAAAAGGGACAGAGTAGCCAATGAAACTCTCAGTAGCACTGTGCTATTGGGGTAAAGAAGAAAATGAGATTTCTGCAGTCCCGTGGGTGCTCTGTGGTAGACTGAGGCTGCACAGGCTCCTTGCAGAGGTACCACAGCCTCTGAAACAAATCCACCTTTGAAATGGGGATTTCTGACAGCATTCTGTTAAAGAGCAGTGAAACCGCACAGGGAACTGAAACATGTCCAGTTAGTGACCCACCAGTCCCAATGATTTATCCAAAATCTAAATCCCATCTGATTTTGATGGAGACAGACAGCTGAGACTTAGATTTCCCAATGAAAACAGCCCTGACTTTTCTTGCACCCACACTGGCTTCTTGTGTCAGGCAAAGCCCTGAGGCATTTGTTGGGTCCTCTGCAGCTCTGCAGCCCAGGTGAGCAGCAGGATGTTTTTTCTGGTCTTTGAGCATCCATTATGAGACTGATTCCAGTCATTCATGAAAAGCAACAAACGGGTGGCGACAGTGGAGGCTGCACCACCCCATAATTCACCTCCCTTGCCTTTTGCTGAGGAGGTTTCCTGTTACACCAGGCAGGGCTGTCATCATCACTCTCCTTGGAGGCTCTCTCTCATTCTCAGCTGCCTTCAGACAGAAATGTGTCCAGTCCCAGGAGCTGTGAATGCCCTCTTTCCTCAATTGCCAAAAATCTGCATGGTACTACTTGCCTATAGACCCCTGGGTTTAGCTAAGAGCTCAGCAGTGGCTACAATATTTGGAAGTACTAAATATTTCTACCTGAGTCATAACTTGCAAGAAAGTCAATCTAGCTCCTCTGTAACCCATTGCTTTCAGAAAACTCTGAGGTGCTTGTAAGTGCCACAATAAGGAGCACTGACCACTTACCTAATAAAATTTGCATTCTGAAGTATTTCTCAGCTCTATTACAACCCTCCAGCTTTATGTGAAGAAGTATCTCTGAGTGTGGATTGAATATTGGCAGTCTTCTTTTGAATTGTATATTCATGATGGGGAATCTCAGCTCTCCTTTGTGACTAATTACTGCTAGGGGATGTCCTGATTAAATGATAATTGTTTTCTTTGTCCTAATAAAAATGCACTTTCTAAGTGCATCTGATGCATTCACAAATATAAAAAATACTCAGTCCCTAATCTGATCCATTCACAAATATGCAAAATACTCAGTCTCCAATCCAGGTAGCTCTCATTTATTCAGGTTTCTGATTCTGAAGCCAAATGGATGGCACAGAGAGGAGAGGCTGGCAGCAGAGCCCAGGAGCCCTGAGTCTGCCCTCCTCATCCTGGAGAACAATGTCAACACTGAGGAACCACGCTCCAGTGTTGCTCTAATTAGAGCAAATAAGCTACAATCAGATTAATTTTATTTGCACTATGCAAATAAAACTATGCCTAAAACACAGCACAGAGCAAAAGCACACAGGGCTCTGGTAATAGATGGCAGAAAATAAAGCAAGCAATGATAAAAGCTCTTTGATAAACACATCAGCCTGGCCAAAGGCAACACATTTCAGAGGAAGATGTTTGTTTTCAGTAAACTCTCCAGCTACCAAGTGAACTTTACAGAGGATTAGCAGAGCTGGAAAACTGAGTCCTCTTTTCACCCAGAGAAAAGCTGTACAAGGGCAGTACAAGGCCAGTATTGCCACTGATAAAAAAATATTATTTGTGGGCACACTGACCTCTTGCTGGGGATGGGAGGGGATGGAGCTCTTTGCTGAGGTCCCAGGCAGGCACAGCTGGGGGTGCTGAGCGGGGGAACATCCCTGCTGAGACCGGGCACCAACCTGGGGAGGGCCTGGCACACATTCTGGCAGCTGCTGGCAGCTAATTTTAGACATAATCAACTTTCAATAACCTGCAGGGAGCTTAGATGTCCCTTGTCACAGACATCTTTTCATGAAAAATCCTTTCCTTAGGATTTTTCCTCCTGAGAAGCTGAGAAGCCTCAGGAACAAACTGTAAACAATGGTTATCTGCTGCTGTGGAATGCAACAGGTGCATCTGTGATTGGTCTCATAGCGTTGTTTGTAATTAATGGCCAATCACAGCTGGCTCGGACAGAGAGCTGAGCCACAAACCTTTGTTATCATTCTTTGCTATTCTATTCTTAGCTGGGCTTCTGGTGAAACCTTTTCTTCTATTCTTTTAGTGTAGTTTTAATGTAATATATATAATAAAATAATAAATCAAGCCTTCTGAAACATGGAGTCAACATTCTCATCTCTTCTCTCATCCAAGAACCCCTGTGAACACCATCACAGTCCCTGACTCCCCCCAGCACTGCTGGCCCTGGTGCAGGGCTGTGGAGGGAGATGCAGGGGACGAGCAGCTCTTGCCCTCTCGATGCCCTGGCTGCTGCAGAGAAATCACCTCTGGCATTTCCCAAAGTTTGCTGAGCAGCTCCTGCCTACAGGTGCTGTCTCATCCCTGCTTTAGCTCTGCCTGGACATGGGAGTCATTCTCACCTGCCCCAGGGCCAGCTTTGGCAGAGGCCTCGTTGCTATTCTCAGCCTCCTGCGCTGATGCCACGCTCTACAGTTTCACTTCACAATCTGCCTTTGGAAAGGGCTGCCCTCCTTTGCAGTGCCAGCTAACTGCAGGCACCAGCAATCATCAATTTCACTGAAGAACCAGCAAATCAATGGCCTCTGGGAGAGATCCTGGAGTCCTGTGGTCTTCCCTCTACCGAGGCTGCAAGTGTGGCTGCTGATTTGTTGTTCTGTGCCTGCCTGTGCCAGTGCCTGCTCATTAAGTGAGACCCACCATCGTTACTGCTGATGGCAAGGAATGCTCACACCCCCCACGGAACTGAGAGCCTCTAGGAATAAATGGGATGTGATCATTTTCATTATCTCCTTTTCAAACATCATGAGTTCAATGACCAAAACCAGCAGGGAATGTGGATCAAGGAACTTGCATTTCCTAGCCAAGGGAAAGCATATCAAAATCAATTAACTAGGGCATGAAATAGTTGTGGCTCTCCCAAAGGAAAATACTGTTTAGCTTAATTGTTCTGCAACTAGTGTTAATGAGTTATCATGACTCATATTTCTATTTACATCCCCAGGAATGAAAATGGGCCAGAGTGTGCCACTGTATGCATCTCAGGACAAAGCAGAAAAAAGGAAAATAAATGTATAGGAACACTTTGGTTTCTACCAGCTTTCATGTGGCACAGCTTTCATACTGCTTCTCAATTTTTGGCTGTCTGACACCTCAGAGGTCAGAGCTTCTGAGGTGTCAGGAAAGCTCTGAGTGAACTTTCAGCTGCTGAAACAGGCCCTAGTCCTGATGCAGCAATGTTTCTGAGCTTGCTCAAGTCTGCTCTGCCTGTCTGGAGTCAAACATACACTTAACAAGTCTGTTGGCTCCTCAAACCTGACACCCAGCACATATTTCCTTCCCAGCTGTGCATCACACACTGTTTATCAAGGTAACTCCAGCACCCAAAAGTGTGAGCATCAGCAGGAGAACAGACTGGCTGCAGCTCTGTAGATACTCCAGAGCACAGATCCCCTTACTCACAGCTCCTTAAGGGTTCCTGTTTCATGGACATCACTCTCATGATCCCACATTGCTGCCATCAGGTGACCAAAGCAGGCAGCCAAATCCAGAGCTGCCCTTGAGATCTGAGCACAGTGACAGGATTGCAGCCTTTATTCTGGATTTGGCTTTGATTTATCACACCTGCCAGTCCTCAAGGGGATCTGCATTCCTCAGGGGATCAGCACTTAACATCACTTATCAAATCCACCTGGAAGGACAAAGGGACATCTCAGTCATGACCACCACAAAGCGTTGGGGCACTTAGAGGGTTTTTCAAAAGGAATTTGGAGAATTGATTTGGAAACCCGTCTGGAGAGGTTTCCCTTTGGCTCCTCCCAGTGACAAACCTGGTCTGAATTCATTGATCTGTGCAAAGCTGTGAGCCATGTTTGACTCTCAGATCAAACATGATTTTTGTACATTTTTGATCCTCAGTGAACCAATGATCTGAGCCAGCAGCTCAGACTCACTCAGCAGGAGTCACAATATCTGAACTCTCAGTCTGGATATGCATCCTGCAACTCTGCCCATCTTTTTGTTTTTCATGTGACACAAACTCTGTTAATTGGGAGTGTTTAGAGAAGATGGAGCCAGACCCTTTGGAGAAGTATACAGCAGAAGAATGACTGGTGATAGATTTGAAACAAAAAGAGAGGTTGTGGTTTTGATAGGAGGAAAAAAGGATTACCATGAGTGTGATGAAGTCAATTGAACAGAGAGGCTGTGAGATCTCCATCCTTGGAGATAATTCAAAATTCAGCTGAATGAGGCCCTAAGCACCCTGCTGCTGCTGGACTAGATTTGAGCAGAGCCCAGCAGTGGACCCTTTCCATTCACCCCAGCCTGTGACTCTGTTATGAAGCCTCTTAGCAGCACATGGAAAAAATGTAATAATTTCCACTTTTTTTTTTTTTTTAATGGAGCAGCAATTTTTGTACTCCTGGTGAAGAACTGAGGGGGTAATATGGCATTTGATATGCCACCAAGGAGAAAGAGACATAAACGACATATAAGCCTAGAGATCAAATCCTCTCAGTAGCTGAGCACATGCATTGAGCTTAATGGAATTTGAGGCTGTCCATCATTTTGTAATACCAGTTTTTAGGAAAGAGAACCAACATGAGGTCCTCTTCACACTAATGTGCATGGCAAAATGTCCAGCAGGCTCAGTGAATGCAAGCAGGGTGGATGCCTCAATTTTCAAGCTCAGCACATGCATAGTGGTGGAGTCTGACAAAGATGTGTGTAAAGTGCTTCACCCCATCCCTTTTTGTAGCTAAAACCAGAAAGCCCAAAGGTGCACAGAGGTGGCATTTCCTGAAGGGAAGCTGAAATTGCATCCATTTCCCTTCACTTTTCTCCTGGTGGCCTCAGTTCTGGGTGGCTTTTCTGACTTCCAGTGACTTTTGCAGAAAAACCCATTTTCACTCTGGGCTTCAAAACCTGCTCAAACTTTTCTTCTTCGTGAGCAAAGACACAAACACCAGCTTGTCTCTCTTCTGTCAAGGAACATGCAGTGCCAGACGTGAAGCATCAGATTCTTTATTCTCAATTGAGGCTAATTAGTGTAATTAGAAAAGAAAATCCACCGGGTATTTGAAACAGAAATTGCCTGAACTGAGAATCAGAGCAGCATTCCGTGAAGGAACTGGACTGCCTGATACAACCCCAGAAATTCCCAAATGCTTCTTTGGACATCTCCTCCTTGGGTGAGGAAGAAAGCCCATTGAAAGCAGCTTCTTCAGCTTGCTTTACAAGCAGCAAAACTCCAGTCTTCTAGGAACTTCCAAAGAAACCCCCACACTTGCAGAAAGCTTGGTTCTGCCCTTCTGAGCCTGACCCCTGCCCTGATGCTCTTGTAAAAACCACCTAGCACTTGTTTTAAAATTTTAAAAGTTTAACAGTAATAAAATGGTTATAAAAATAGTAATACAAATTAGAGCAATAAGAATTTGTACAATCAGAGTTAGGACAATAAAAAAGTAAAGAATGACAAATGTTTGGATGCTTTCCTCTTGAAAGCATGGTCACTTAAAAAGGATTAACTCTTAAAGCAAAGGCCTGCTGCATATTCAAATATCTCATATATGATTCAAAAATTCTTTTCAAACAAAGGGTATTTTCTGGTTATTGTCAACTTCCCCCACTCACCTTGTAAATCATGGTCAGATTCCATGGAGTCTGCAAGGAGACTGGGTCTTCCCAATAAGGAGGCAATAATTCTTCTCTTTGGGATCTCAGTGTTTTGTTGCTGCTATCTCTGTGCAAAGAATTTCTTGATTATCTCATCTCTTTCTTGAGCTAGTTAAAAAGCATCTTGCATAGCATAGTTTCTATTTTAACATTATGTTATAACCTAAAACTATATTTAACACACTACTTGAGAAAATTAACACAGCATAACTTTCTAACATAACACATATAATATTAATTTTAATATTTGAAAAAAACCAATCATATAATATACATTTTTCACACTCTACCTATGGGTGATGTGCTCTGTGGGTAATCAAAGCACCACTGGTTGCATCCAAACAAGAGCTCCTACTTCTCCAGCTGGTGAATCTTGTCCACAAAACTGAGTTCCAGTACAGCATTCTTCCTATGGCAGATGCAATGCTTTTGGGAGTGAGAAATTATCACCTCTGGCTTTTAGAAGCAGGGGTTTTGGTGTTGGTCATATGAAGAGCAAGATGCTGTAGAGAAACATGGCAGCAGATAAGGAAGAAGATAAATAGGAGGAGGGTGGAAAGGAACAGAAGAGAAACACAGAAAAAAGAGAACCATGAAGGACAATGTAAGATCCAGAACTGGGCTGCAGAGCAACACTTCCCCACATCCTAGACATAAATTTGAGTCTGGAGTTCAGGCTCCAGTACTTCCTTGAGTTCGGAGAGATCCTCAAGATCTGAGACTTGCATTTATGGCTGGTGGCTGGTTTTACAGCAGGCCAAAACAAGCTCCACATCCCACTGCAACCTGACTGTGGAGAAAGATGCCTGTCAGACCAGTGTCCTGGATTGCCAAGAAAATTGTATTCTATTTGCCATCTCATTGAATGTCACTGCATGACTGATAAGAACGACAGCATCCCATTGGGAGATGCTCCACCCAGGGGGAGGAGCCAAGCATTCCTGCCTGGATATAATCTGGAGATTCTGGAACACCAGCACAGCTTCTCCACTGGATTCCACAGAGGAGCAGCAGCTGCCTTTTCTTCCACTGGATCTTCAGAGGAAGAATACATCCTTCTCTACAGGATCCCTGCTCCAGCAGAACCATACCTGACACTCCAGGAGGGCTGCAGCCACAATTCCAATGGGACTGCTGCCAACACCCTGACCCACAGGGTGTCAGGTTGGGTTCTGACTCTGTCAGTGTTGCTCTACTTTACTGCATTGTTTATTTTATCTTTTTATTTTCCTCCTTAATAAAGAACTGTGATTCCTTCTCCCATATTTTTGCCTGAGAGCCCCTTAATTTCAAATTTATAACAATTCAGAGGGAGGGGCTTTACATTTTCCATTTTAGGGGAGGCTCCTGCCTTCCTTAGCAGACTCCTGTCTTTCCAAACCAAGACACCCAGACAGAAAGCTTTTGGCCTGGACACAATTCCTCTCTTATATGCTCAGATATTCTTTTTTTTTTGGTGACATGAAGCTAAATTCCCTTGCTTAATGGTAAAGATCAAATGGATTTGTACTGAACAGAAGGGAGAGGTATTGCATAAGGACTTGTTCCTGTGTTCTTTGATTAGCCTGCCTATTAGCCTTTATCTCAGACTCTTGGAAACACCAGCTTTCTATCAAAAGGAAATGTCACTACTTTAACTAATATACATTTTTATTTCCTTTGCAAGAAGCTCTAATTAACTTCTTTTTTTTCTCAGTTCAGCACAGCTTTAAAAAGAATATTTAATGTCAGGCATTAAAGTTTCCATATTGGCTTGCAAAGGGAATCTTGACTCACAGAGATTCTCAGCAAGAGAAATAAAAGGCAGACTATGCCTCCCTTTCCTGCCCTGCAGAAGAAAGGATTTGAACCCATTCCACAGGTGATTTTATAACTGAAAGGAGCTTTTTCCATCCAGTCCTTCCTGAAAAACTCCAAGTGATGGGAGAGCTGCCTCCAGCACTCACAACCTCCATCATCCTCATGCTCCTCTCAAAGAAATGCTGAATCTGCCAGGCCTGTGGCTCTCCCCTGTCCAAAGTCAGGGAAAACTGCCAAATGCATGCGATCAATGTTTTACATTTTTCCCCAGCTAAATAATTCTCCAGCTTTACAGATCAAGCAAGAGGCATTAAAATTGCATTGCAGCACTGAATGTCAGGCCCTCTGAAACAGAGGGCTTAAAATTGTAACAAATCTGTTGAACACTTGTTTAATTTTGTGTGTCTGCTTAAACTCCTCGACTGCAGACTTCAAGAGCAAGCACATGCTTTGAGAAAAAGCAACTCCAGTATTTGCAGAAAAAGCAGCTCCAGTATTGCAGAATCAGGACCATCTGAGGCACTGTTCCTATTCCACAGCAGTCCATGTAATCTCCAGATCTGAGCCATCTCCTGCCACACCATGGCAGCCTGATGGCTGATGTAAGACCTGTTTGAGAAACATTCTTCTTAACTACTATTAGGGTTATTATTAACATCACAATACAGTTTATAGGAAGGCACAGGACTGCCACATGGCAGGAAAGTCAAAAGGGCTTTTTTGAGGATTACATTCAACAGCAAGATGGGAATAGATCCCACTCACCTACTGATTATCTTGTCCACCTCCACCTTAGTGAGGGAAAGGTCTGAGGTTGTGAGCTGAAAGAAGCTGTAGTAATGCAAAGCACTACCAGGAGCCAGGCAGTACAGCTGAATAGTCAAGTTTTTGTCAGAATGGGGGCACACAAATGTTAACAGGAATCCCCAAGGCCATATCCCTTTCCCAAGCCTGCCTCAGTGTGAACTGGTACTGTGAAGTGTGAAGATTTCCATCTCAGTTAACTTTTTTTTTTTTTTTTTAACACAGCAAACACTGCTTTTATCTAGGGGAATATCTGGTAATCTACTAAACCATTTTACTGCCTGTGGAAGGAACATTTGAATAC